CAATTCAGCGATTTTATCGCAATTTTCGACGACAGGAATTCCGGAGCGTGGCGCATCTTCGACCACCTCTACACCAGAACGAAAACGTTGAAACCATCGTTGTGCGGTGGAAATGGAAACTGTATCGGGTCCATAAACGGCACAAATTTTTTTGGCGGCTTGAGATGCATTTTTGCCTTTATCGTAGTAGTACTTTAAAATATGCCATATTCTCTTTATTTTGCTTCATGTTTGCGACGCTACAACTCACGAACGACTTTAAAGAAACGACAATCAATCAAACACGTGTTAGCGCGTTGAATAAAACTAGAACTACGCGCTCTCAGCGCCAACTAGCGAAAATACCGCAAGACTTTTTTGACAACCTAATATATAATAAAAGTAATTGTTTAATGTTATACATATCTTTACATTTATCGATATCAATCTTTTTATGACAATTTCTTATTAAAATAATATTTTTTAAATGGGTTGAAGAAATTTTATTGCGTTGTTTGGAACAAATAAATTCTAAATCTGAAAAAATTTCTTCACATTTATAAGTAGAGGAAAAAATGATAAACATTTAAATGCATTTTTTTTTTCAATTCATGGTAGAATGAATCATCCATGTTTTGCCAGAATTCAATAATACTTGATTTGTTTGAAATTTCCCGATCACTTCGTAGAATTATTAATTCTGACTGTAAGTAAACTTCATATCGGTAGGTACTTATATCGCAATGAAAGGGATTTTCAAACAAATCTATCTCAAAATCTTTGAATATATCTTCAAAATTATTAAAAAGAGTTTCTAATATTACAATGTGATCAAACAGATATTTTTTGCAAACAAATATATATTTTTTCTGTAAAAAGACATTTTCGTTCTTTTTTATCTAAATACGTAATGGTATAATGAAAATTAACAAAATATGTTTTAAGGATATATTACCTATCATCTTTAAAATACTTGGAATATAAAAGGCATTGCATGGCACCATAGGCATTTAGAATCATAAAATATTTCTCGCAGGGCATATTTGGTTTTGCGCTATTGTCTTGCGC